AACAGTCAAGATGGTGGAATTAGTAAATTCTGTGCTCGCCTCCTCTTATAACCACATCAAAATGACAACTAAACTACAGAACAGCCATCATTGAGAGTTGCCTTAGGTCTAGCTGTACAAAAGTAGTCTTACAACTGGGAACATAAAGAAGAGGCCACCTGGAGACTGGTAGGAAAGGTGGAGACTTGGAATAGACTGGTCCCACACTTGCGTGTGTTGGTTAAGAATCAGTAGGGTTATTTCAGCTGCAGAAGTCCCTCCAGAAGAGCATACCGGGCTCCCTAGCCCAGGATTCCAGTGTCAGGAAGAGAAGTTCCCCACAACTTCTGGCTATGAAAACCAGCAAAGGTTGTGGCTGAGACAGAGAGAGGCTAAAGTCTCAGACGTTCCTCTTAAGGGACCTGGGCATACTCACTTGCTGATGGACTCACGCACTATGAGCTCCAGCGCTGGGAAAGCAGCTTGAAAAGCACCAGGGACATACCAGGAGGAACTGGGTTGTCTGGCTTCAAGGCGAGGGCTAGAGGGGCAGCTTTCTCCTTGACAGGAGTGCTGGCAGAATCCATCATTGTTGAGCCCTCCCAACTCCTGGCACGCAGATGCATGTGGTGCCATATCTGAGTCTCCGTCAACCTGGCTAAACTGATTGCTCTGCCTTGGAGATTCCCAGGGACCCCATGCCTCCCAACTTGCCAGCCCACCCAAGCTGCCTTCGGTGACTTTCCTTACAAATGGCCTGTCTTGGCTCATGCTCTGGACTTTCCTAAAATCTGTCAAAGATGCACAAAACCCAAACAAGCAGCATCTGGCCTTGGCATGCCCCATACCTCATACTGAGCAGCACCAAGCCCAACACTAGTGGCAACAAGTCTTGGGTCACAACTTGACCTCTCAAGGCACCTCCAAGCCTGGCTTGGGTGGCCACCATCTGCGGATTGCTTGCTGACTCTTGCCAGATGGCCTCGGGCAGGGTGCCTTCAGAGGCTGAAGTTGGCCTGTGGCAGGGCCCTTCCCAGAAGGCTCTGGTGCCAGCACACCTGGTGACAGGCTTCAGAATGAGCCAGAACACCATCCAGGGCTTCATCCAAGGACAACACACCCAAAGGGCAGACTGGGAAGGCACTAGAGCCCTGCTAATGTGAATCCTGCTCCAGAAGGTCAGCCCCTTACTGGTCGGTTTTCACAACAAATCTGCCTGAGGGTCAGTTCCACCCATTGACATGCAAATAGCAACCAAGGCTCAACGACACTAGGGGGATACACACAACCCATTCAAGGGACACACCTGAAGCACCCAGCTCAGATGACCAGGGAAGACTGCATCACTGGGCCCTACAGGACACTTACTACATAAGGCCACTCTAAGACTGGGAGACATAGCAGCCCTACCTAATACATAGAAACAAACACAGAGAGGCAGCCAAAATGGGGAGATAAAGAAACATGTATGAAATGAAAGAAATGAACAAAGCTCTATAAAAAAAAAAAAACCTAAACAAAATAGAGACAAGCAATCTACCAGATGCAGAGCTCAAAATACTGGTTATAAGGATACTCAATGAACTTAGGGGAAGAGTAGATGGACTCAGTGAAAACTTTAATGAAGAGACAGAAAACATAAAAATGGAAATAGAAAACATAAAAAAAGAATCAGTCAGAAATGAAGAATATAATAACTGAAGTGAAGAATACATTAGAGGTAATCAACAGTACATTAGATGAAGCAGAGGATCAAATCAGAAATTTAGAAGATAAGGTAGCAGGAAACACCCAATCAGAACAGAAACAAGAAAAAGACTCCAAAAAAAATTAGGATAGTTTAAGAGGCCGCTGGAACAACATTAAGCACACCAACATTCTCATCAGAAGGGTAACAAAAGGAGAAGAGAAAGCAAGGAATTAAAAACCCATTTGAACTCTGAACAAGCCTGATCCCTTCTGATCTCGGAAGCTAAGCAGGGTCGGGCCTGGTTAGTACTTGGAAGGGAGACCACCTAGGAAGACCCGGTGCTGTAGGCATAAAAAAATTTAAAAAAAAGAAAAGAAAAGAAAAGAAAGGATTGTAAGCTGAGAAGGTTTTTGCAATCTGTGGGGGCAACCAAGGGTTGCCCCCCCTAAAAAAAAAAAAAAAAAAAAAAACATTTGAAGAAATAATGATGGAAAACACCCCTATTCTGGCAAAAGGAATAGACATACAAGCCCATGAAGTGCAGAGAAACCCAAACAAGGTGAATCCAAAAAGGCCCACACCAAGACACACCATAATTAAAATGCCGAAGATTAAAGACAAAGAAAGAATCTTAAAAGAAGTAAGAAAAAATCAGTTATGAACAAGGGAACTCCCACAAGACTGTCAATTGATTTCTTAACAAAAATTTTGCAGGCCGGAATGGACTGGCAGGAAAAATTCAAAGTAATGAAAACAAGGACCTACAACCAAGATTACTCTATCCAGCAAAGCTATCATTTAGAATTGAAGGACGGATAAAGAGTTTAATCACCATCAAACCAGTACTACAAGAAATGTTAGAGGGACTTCTTGAAGATAAGAAATATGAATAATATGGCAATAACTACATATCTATCAACAATTACTTTCGATGTAAATGGATTAAATGCTCCAATCAAAAGATAGGTAACTGAATGGATAAGAAAACAAGACCCTCATGCTGCCTACAAGAGACTCACTTCATATTGAAAGACACACAGAGAATGAAAATAAATGGATGGAAAAAGATATTTCATGACAATGGAAACAAACAAAAAAATCTGAGGTAGCAATACCTATACCAGACAAAATAGACCTTAAAACAAAGGCTATACCAAAAGAAAAAAAAAAGGACCCAGTAATCCCATTTCTGAGTATTTATATTAACAAACCCAAAACACTTGCATCCATATGTTCATTGCAACATTGTTTACAATAGCCAAGATATGAAGGCAACCTTGGTGTACATCAATGGATGAATGGATAAAGGAGCGGTGGCACATATATACAATAGTATATTAGTTGTTCATAAAAAAGAATGAAATCTTGCCATTTGTGACAACATGGGTGGTCCTAGAGGTTATTGTGCTGAGTGAAGTAAGTCAGGCAGAGAAAGACAAATGCCATATGATTTCACTTATGTGTGGAATCTAAAGAACAAAATAAACAAACAAAACAGAAACAAACTCATAGATACAGAGAATATTTTGATGGTTGCTAGATGAGAGAGGGTTGAAGAGGTGGGTGAAAAAAGGGATGGGATTATGGAGTACAAATTGTTAGTTACAAAATAGTCATGGGAATGTAAAATATAGCATAAGGAATATAGTCAATAATATTTTAATAACTATATATGGTGTCAGATGGGTACTAGATTTATTGGGATGATCACTTTATAAGTTATGTAAATGTCTAATAACCATGTTGTACACCTGAAACTGATATAATATTGTATGTCAATTGTAATTAAAAATAAAAAATTATCTTAAAATTTATTGTAGTAATCATATATATATTACTTTTAAATGGCTCTTTTATATTTTTCTGTCGAGGGAAAGATGTAAGTAGATAATCAGCAAGAATTACAATTAAAACTCTTTTTTTAAAGCTTCCTAGTAACATCACCGTATTATGCAGTCTTATTTATTTAATGTTGCCCTCTTAATGTTCCAATTTTCCTTGACTTTGTTGATTTGGCAGCTATTCAGGTAAACGTGGTGACCTTGTTTGTTAAACCTCATTGCCAGCCCATGGCATAAAATAAGATCATGTATGTAAATCTTGGTGCCTGGCATAGAGTACATGCTCAATAAATGGTGATTATCATGATTATTAATGATAAAACCCCACCACTAACAATTGCTTCAGTTTGGTCAAATGTTAACTCTTTTAAAATATAAATAATTCTGGAAATATTTAAATTATAGTAGGGGTACGTTCGTTTATTTTCTTGAAAATTTTGGGTCTTAAGGTAGGGAAAAATTATAAAAATGGAATATATCTGTCTTCACAAATTTGGCCAGAGATAGCAATAATGAAAAAGTTAATTTTGAATTCTAAGTTTTAAAATACTAATAATTTATATGCTTTCTAAAATATTTAGATAAAAATATATTTGGCCCACTGTGGCAGATAGGCACACGCTTTAAAACGAACGGAGTAAAAGTTTAATGAAAACACATTTTCAGGCTAACTTTTCTATAATATGGACCTCTACAATGTCACAAAATTCCAGCTAGAACCATGACCCCAAAAGCCAGCCAGAAAGACTAGTCTGAAAGGTAGAATATCCTGATGCCCAGCACTCATTTTTATTGCTTTGATTGCCAGCACCTGGCATAAGTATTATACCATCATCATTTCTACAGAGATACCGATATTCTTTTTTAAAAAACACGTAAAACCTGACATACATTCTTAGAAATTACCATCACCTTTTGAGAATGTCTGATTCAGAGAAATGATCAAAAGTCTCTTCAAAGTGACCTTGATGACTAAATATTTAAGCTAGATGACACATTAAAAGTTCTACACTTCCTTAAGTGGCAAGTGTTGTCATTTTGCTTTGAAACTATAAATCTTCTTCCAGTCCCACCCTCTACCAGGCCTGAGTCCTCAACTTGGCTTCTTCTAGGTTTCTCACTTCCTTTCCAGAACCTGAAGATTGAAATACATCTAGCCTCATATGCATTGGCTTACATATCCATGTTTACTGATCTGAGAAGAGTACTCTCATAAAGGAAAGCCCCTTCACTTCCCTATACTTCCCTCGACCACTCTTCTTCCACCCTTCCTCCCTCAGATCTTCAATTTAGATGACACAGTTTTGACTTTTTTAATATTGTCCTAAAAGAGGAGAGAATAGAATTTTTCAATATCTTCTTTTAAAAAATAATTCTTTTGCTATTTTTCATCATACAGGATTCAAGAGTACGCTGTGTAAACATAGAAGCTATGAAAAGAAAAGAACTAGAAAGGTGGCTGACGATATTTCAAGTAACTGTCTCCACTGGGATGTTAAACTTGGAGTGGTTTTATTAAACATGTAGAAAACAAGAAAATGGACATGCTGGTGTGCTAGAAACAAAATAAATAAGAATATTTTCTTTAATTAATGCAGGTGTTAACAATGACAATCAAATACAGAATTAGATATCATCTCTGCCTCTGACATTTACAATAAAACACAAGACAAAGGGATAAAGTGCCTTACAAATCCAATGCCATGAAAAGGCATTAAGACTTAGGAATGGAGTGAATAGACTGTATCTCTTGCTCAACCAGAATCCTCGCTTGTGCTTCATACAAACAAGGAATATTGTACAGATGAACATGTGCAAAAAGATAACAGAAGACATTCTGTTGGAGATTCTGTTTCTTCAGCCTTGACATGTGACAAAGCAGAGAAGGTTTTCCTTGTCATCAATCAAGGTAACTGGCTAAGAGGGAAGGAATACTCTGGGAGCTCTTGAGAGGCCATTTGAATCTCAACGCCTTTGGAAAGCAGCATCTTAAGAGGCCTGTGTAGTGATGAAAACTGGCAGGACCAAGAGTTTAAGCACAGCTCATGTACCTTTACTGGCAAGTTGAGGGTCTAGGGTCAAGACACTCTACTGGAATTTCCAAAAAGAGCATGTAATTTTGCAAGTGCAACATCAAAGTCAAGTTTATACTCAAGTAAGAAAGAAAAAAAAAAACAGTTCCAGACATGATTCTGTCATACAGAATTAGTAATAAAGTCACCCTTTAGGACTAAGTTGACTCAGTGTACCATAGAGAATTCATGGGTCCCACTCCAAGAAACACAAAATAAACCAAATCCAAACTCTGTCATAAAGCAAGTATTCAATGAATGCTGGTTGTCTAGGTGTAGCACATATTTAACATGTACTAAGTCTTATGAAAGATACTAATATTTATAGAAAAGGTGACCCAGAAACAAACAAGACATAGTGCTGACCTTTGGGAACTTCAAATTTGTTTAAGCTTCTACATAAAAAAAATAATATATTAAATAAAAAATAGCAAAGTGCACAGCAAGCACATAATTTGTTACCATTTATGTGGAAAAGAAGAAGAAATAAAAAATATACTTTTTCATATATTTTCACATCTTTTCATAGAATATCTTCAGAAAAATAATAAAAAGCAAAATGGTTGCTTCTAGAAAGGAAAATTAGATGATTAGGAGGATGTATTTTAAATCGTGGAAAGGTCTGAGTTCAAAATTCAATTGCATTTAAATAAAATGAACTGCTAAACAATACTAGACGGTATATAAATAAGCATCAGATTGTATGGCAAAGACAAACAAATCAGGGATAAAGATAATGATAAAAAAGGAATGCAAGAGTTATTTTAGACAGTTTTTTAAAATATTGACTTCTCATAAATTAAAATTGCTTTATTAAAATACTTAAGTATTTTCAACTGTCTAAGAACACACTGACTGGCCACTCAGAGTGTCCCCTCCTTTTGGCAATATTTCTATACTTTCTTCCTCACACTATCGTTCTTCTCTAATACCTAATGTCTCTAATGTCTATGCTATGACATTGCACTAAATTGTAATAATACATTTTCTCATCAGTCACCCCATCATGATATGAGCTCCTTTAGGGAAGGTACTTTATCTTACATCTTGTATATTCACTGCCTGGAACAGATATTGACATGCAAGGGCATTTCTTAAGTGTTTGTTGAATGAATAAATTTCTCAAAGTAAAACAAAGCTATAAATTGTATTCTAAAAGGACAGTAGGTGACAGCCTTGGAAATCTGAGGTCTGCTATTTACTAGGTTGGGCAAGTTACTTTATCTCTCCATTCCCTTTGCTCTGGAATGAATATAATAATAAAGTGTACCACAACACAGTTGTTATAGGGATTAAATGAGATTATGTACATAGGATACCACATAGTTGTAAAGCTGATATTTAAATGTAACAGATACTACGGTAAAGTGTCTTACCTTGAGGTCTGAAAATAAGATTATTTAATAAGGTAATATCAGATACAAGCTAATGGTTTGTTCTGTATGCTTCCTATGTACCAATAGTTATAGAGGATACAATGCACCTTACAAATACTATACATTTTACTGGACACACACAAGTCATTAAGCAATAAGTTTAGTTTGGTGACAAAATTTTAACTTCTGCTACAATATATCTTCAAAAGAAATCATTTATAACCACACTCATGTTGACAAGACCCTCACAGACTCAAAATAAATAGAAATAACTCATATTTAAATACTGTTGCTACATTGGGACTCTCAATCACACAGAAGACAGATGGAGACACTGAGTGAACGTAACAGGCACTTCTGTAGGAACTGACCATTAAATCAGAGAATCTTCACTTGTTTTCCCAGGATGAGTGATGGACAATTTGCATGGAGGCTCATTATTCACAAGTGTCCTTTCTCTCTTCTGTAAACACCGGTGAGTCTCCCAGTCATTCTGAAGTACCAAGATTTCCTTCCAGGCTAACCCTTTGTAACTCCACCGTTCTTCGTTCCCTTCTTCTTTCCCAGCTTCCATTTTCAGTGCTTGAGCTTTTTAAGTCCTGCATCATCTACAGTCCACTGGCCCGTTGTGTACCTCTGGTCATGCTTAGCCCTGACGAACTCAAACACAGGCTGAGATTCCCTGCTTTAAGATCAGAGGTTTCAGTGCTGGATTACGTCTCTTCAAATTGTATATCTGAAGAATAATAATGAGAAACATATTATATGTGCTAAATAATATAAATTTGCAAGAAGATAAAGAGGCAGATTATATCTTTGCCCAATTACCTTTACATGATAAAGGGTGACCAACCATCCTGGTTTTCCCTGGGACTGTCCTGGTCTTAAAACTAAGAGTCCCATGTCCTGAGAAACCCCTTAGTCCAGGGCAAATTGGGATGGTCGGTCACTTAGGATGATCCAAATGACATTCATTAATTTACTTTACAACACAAAGGACTAATGCAGACCACATAATGAAACCTGCCTGAGCTTGTCCATGCTAATTAGACTACTGTAAACATGGGCTTCTTATGAAGTTTGATTTCTAACCACATTAAAAAGAATTTAAAACCTTAATATAAATTTCTTCTTAGTTCAATCAGCTGGGTGAGGTCTTTCTGAGCTTTTATAAATGTAGACATTTGTGGCAAAATGGAATTAAGCAGACAAGCTAAGGGTAAATTTCTACGGTCAAGCTAGTGGGCCTCAAAGCCTGAATTTTGTCACCTACCAGCTGTGTGTTTGGGGCAACTTACATTATCTTCTTGGCCCTCTTTTATCTACTATAAAGTGGGGGATGATCTTAATATTTATCTCTTTGATTTGAAGGGTGGGGGGAATTAAATGAGGTACTGCACAAGAAGCAGTTAACATAGTACCTGACACATAACTTCTTTCTTTCATTCTTTCTTTCTCTCCCTCTCCCTCTCTATGTCTTTCCCATCCATATAAATCAGCTTGGTCCGCTATCGCAGGGAGGAGTTAGGAGACAGAGCAATAGAAACCTAGAAGAGAACCTGTCTCCTCCCCACCTGCAGTACTCCTCCCCCAATACACACGCAAAGCTGCTCATCATTCCTTACTCTCCAGGGCCATCCCTAAATCTTCTCAGATGGTGGGAGGGGTTCTTATGTTAGAATTATGAGGCAAAAAGAAGTCAGCAGTTCCAACAGCTAGCATTCTCTAAAAAGCAAAGGGATTATGGCTGATAGATTTCTCCCTGTTATCGCTTTAACTTTTTGTTTCCTTTTCCTTCAACTTCCCGATCCCTGCTAATATTCTTACCATTTTGTTTCTTCGAGTTCATGTCTTGAGTGCCACATTTTTCCACATCCATCATTCTCACTTGAAAAAGAAAAAATCATTTTTATTTCCACAAAACACAATTCTACATCCCATACAGTGACTCAAGTTTAAATTCCAGGTTCCTACAAAAGATTTTTAACCCCCTAGGAAATCTGGTAGACTTCCTTATTCCACAGGTCCCAAGCCCTGAGGTTGATTCAACAGGTTAGGGCACATACTTTTACTCCTAGATTTTCTTTAGGGGTATATACTTTTATTTCTCATCCTTCCCTCTGAGATGGACTGTATTTTGAGATACTTTATTTTGCATTGCTTCTCTAGGCATTTCTAATGCTAATTATATATTACAAGGGAATATTCAAAATGCAACAGTCACTTCCTTGGACAAATCAACTCCATTTCAGAATCTTCCTATCACTGAAACTTGGTATTTGTATTCTGGCTGTCTTTGTTCTGCTGAGTATCTAGTCATTAGCAATAGCAGCCTTCACTCCCTCAGTTACACCATGGCCCCAGATTCACCCACCCCCTTAAGAGGTTGTGGGGAATTTCTCAACCAGTGGAACTCCCTTCCACTTCCCTGTTGACATCAGATAACTCTAGGCACATCAGCGTTGGGTCCCTTGGTATACTTCTCAAAGTTCTGGAGAAATGATTACTCTGAATCATCTTAAAATGGGAGGAAGTTATTTGAATAGGCTTATTTTCCTGGATTTTAATTGTTGTCATAAGTAAATAGAGAGATAAGCACATGCAAATTATATAACAGTCAGAAATCTGACAAAATACTCTATGGTAAAAATGTTACAGCTCAACATGAGGAACTATTTTTATAACTTAGGGTGCCCAGAACCAGTTCAATATAATAATGCATCTGACGGAAAACTCGAATTAAATCAAAACCAACAGGTATTTTAGCTTTCTCTTTCCTGTAAGTCTGCGGTTATTTGCATAATGAAAAGAAACTTATACCTGGTCTTCTTCAACCTCTGGACACACCTATTCTCCCACCCCATCTTGTACCCAGCGACCTTGCTCAGCTTCACTGTAATTGCTATTAAACAGTGGACTGTCTTCATGTCAGCTTGCAAAGGCAAGTCATGTTCTCCTGCAGCCATGATCCAACTCTCACCCCCTCAGAAATGCTACTACAGTATTCACTGCTGCCCTCCAATGTAGGTGATGCCACTGAACAGCAAAATGAGCGGGACTGGAGGAAGAGGTGATGCACAGGTTTACATAGCTAAAATGGCATAGCTAAAATCTACTTTGCACAATTGAAAATTGGCCCTAAAAATGAAGGCTAATAGGAAGGCAGCATTTTATAAATCAGTGTTTCCTAGTGGGGGCACCACTAGCATTTAGGGTAGGATGGTTCTCTGTGACACTGCCCTGCAGATTTAGCATCCTTGGCTCTGCCTACTAAGTGCCATTGTGACAACAGCACCCCCATACATTGTGACAACAGCACCCCCATACATCCCCCACATCCACCGTAGAGACCATTGCAATAAAGGAAATACCATCTCTTTTCAGACAGAAGATGACTGTCAGGGCTACAAATAACAATGGGATGATTCCCAGAATTGCCAAATGAGTCCTCTTGTTTTCTGGAAACTTAAATGATGGTTCTGAAAAACAAAACAAGACAAAACAAAAGACAAATTTTTGATGGGAAGGGGTAAGGAGAATAATCATCCTTGAAGTTTAATTTAGGTTAGCTTTAGGTTAATTTCCTTAAATACCAAAAGTTTCTGGCCAGTTGAGTGGCTGGAATAGTGAAATGCCTCTGATATGAAAATAGGAAGAGCATGGAAAAGTGGAAGAAGCTCAGGCTTTGGACAGATGAACCTGGGGTTAAATTCTGCTGCCTCCCACTAGCTTTGACATCTCTGACAAGTCCTTTAACCAGGCTACAAAATGAAAACGATAACTTTTGCAAAGCTAATGTTTGTCATAATCCCTGACTACCTAGTTCAAGCTTTACAGACACAATAGCAGTCAACCTTTGTATAGTAGCTTGTGGTTTATAAAGCCTGTTCATATCTATTTTATTTGAGTCTCAAAATAACTTTATGACTTAGGCGTGCCTAACTCAATAGGTGTTTTTTTAAAAAAAAATTCCCAGGTTACAGATGAAGAAACAGACTCCAAGCAATTAGGTGAGTTATCCGAGGTTTCCCACCAACAGGTTGTCATAAAACAGCTTTTAAATGGCAGGAACCCATTAATGCAGTTCCTACCAAAGTGACTCATACCTCAGTCAGAGCATCTTTAATTATCAAACTTCTTTTGTTCTTTTTCTTCACAGGACCATCTTGAAAAATATTTTCCTATTGCTTGACTTGTCTACCCAATGTTTTAGTTGTTTTCTCTGAAGTACCCAAAGCTTTACTGTCAACATCTGTTGGGGGAGGGGTGGGAAGAAGCGCTTCTCAGAGCACCTCCGGCTTTATATTAACATCATGCATGCCCACCTCACTTTCTCTAAAGGTCTGAGCCTTTCGTCAGACTGTATCCTACCTCACCCACTTTACCCACTCCTGTAGGGCAGGGAGACAAAAAGTAGTTAAATCTGTGTAGGCAAGAGTCTCAAATCATCATCATACACTGTAGCTCATTTATACATATGATAACCTTGCTCAGTTGGTTATAACCATATAGGGAATTGAAGCAGGCAGAAGTTGAATAACTTGCCCATGGACACACACAGCCTTATGTCTTATGCACTAAGCAGACTGCCTTGAATTGGAATGTCATAGACTACCTTGGGGGAGGCAGATGGGGAGAAAGGATCTCTCTCATTTGGAATAAGATAGAAAAGTACATTCTATTTGCTTCTTGCCATAGAAACACTGGAGGGAAAGGGGCAGCTCTATGTGCTCAGATTTGGATTCCTGAAACATGGCCTGAGTTGAGTATTCCTCTCAGGTACTCCCCAGACACCCCAGACACAGGAGCATTTCCGGCATGGATGAGATTGACTGTTTTCTTGTCTGTTTCCTGGAGAGTGTGAACTATCTTATTCTTCTATGAGCCCCCAATGCCTGGCACGTAGGCCATATTCAATAAATATTTGCTGAATGTTTATTAAATAGCAATATGACTTGGATGAATGCAAGTGAGGAAGAGGATGCATTTTGCAAATATAGTGCTGTTCATTCATTTGTTTATTCAACAATGAATGCCTACAATGAGCAGGCATCATGCTAGGTGCCAGGGGACAGCACTAAGCATATTTCAATTGAGACATTCAGAATATTACCTGGGATGACCAACTCAGCTGTACTGTTTTCCTCAAAATCTGATCTTCGAAAAGTGCAGTAGAAAATCTCGTTAGCTGTTGTGTTGATTCTAAGCGTGCTGGTCACATTGAAAAGTTTCTCCTCCCTCTCGGAATTGGCAATGGTGGTTTTGCCACTCAGGACTCGTTGGTCACTGCTTGTCCAGATGACTTCAGCCTCGGGGTAACCCTCAGCCTGACATGTTAGTTCATGTTCAGAGGTGACTGGATCCACAGAAATTATTTGGTTGATTTTGTGGTATGGGGCTAGGTCATGAGCAAAAAGAAGTCAGGGCTTTTGCTTAGCACAGAACTAGATGTGTGTCTACATTAGAAAGATTATCAATCCAAGCTAGTTTTCATAGAAATAAGCATACTGTTCAGCTGTCTCAGCAGTGGGGAACCCCAGTTAGTTCTGACCCAACTCTTCATACTTAGGCTGAGTTTGGGCTTCCAGGAACAGCCATCTAGCTATATGTATAATATTGCTATTTTTATTGGGTTCGAAGTAAGTACATAAATTTTTTTTTTAAATTGTCGTCTTTAAACCAGTACTCATTCTATCCAAATATAAAACATGTCTGTTCATTTACTCAAGTATTTGTTTGTTTCCCAGTGAAGTTTTATAGTTTTTATATAGGGCACATTTCTTCTTACATTTATTCTTGAATATTTTGTTGTTGTTGTTATAATGCTGTCTTCATAAACATGAATCTCTCCAGCTGGCCAGCACTGTTTCCTTAGACTATTTAATAAACGGAAAATCCAATTTTGATGTGCCATTCACTTTTTCAACTTTATGTCAATGATCAGAAATTAGGTATGAAAATAGTATAATGTCATTATAAAAACTGATATATGTTTCTGGATGAAACTTTTTAAAGTTTAAATATAAATATATTTTATTTTAAAATAGTTTTATATTTACAGAAAAGTTGCAAAGATAGTACAGAGCTCCTGCATACCTCTCACCCAGCTTCCCCCATTGTTAGCATCTTATACTACCATGGTACATTGGTTATAACTAAGGAACCAACATTAAACTTCACACTTTGTTCCTTTTTATTAGTTTTTCCCTAATGTCCTTTTTTTGTTCTAGGATCTCATCCAGAACACCATGTTAAAACACTTATTTTTAAAACATTTTTATGCTGGCTATTTTAATAAATCACTTAAATTATTATATGCAAGGAAGAAAGTTTGATTAAATTATAGATTGTTGGTTTGAGAACCTTTTAGGATTAAGATACCCGGTGTATCGACTATTATTTAGTGCAGTCACATCACCTAAGATCTTTACTCATGCTTATTCATTATAAGTATGTTAGCATGTTATTATTCTGTTAGCATTATCTTTATTTTACTCCTAATACTTTGGTGTAAACATTAGTGGTCCACCTAGAACCTTAACTCTGCATTTGCTCACTGAAATCATAACATGGCTTTATGATATATTCACAGAGATTTAACACAAAACAGCCAGGAACAAACAAAACTTAAATAATGATGTGATTTTTTTTGTGCGTGCTCTTATATCAATAAAACCAATAAAAACACTGGAAATCAACATAATCACAATTTGAAAACACATAAATAATGGTTCTTATCACCACATGAGTCCTCAACCTTGCATCTGTTATGTTTAAGAATCATTAAAAACATGAATACACTGATTATACTTCATGAAATAATATTACCACAACAGGGTCTCATTCATATAGCACATTGCTTGATTTCCAGGCAATTAAAATTTCAAGCCTAAAATCACAATTAATGGTAAATTGTTAAAGATAAAATGTTGGCTTGTTTACCCTTCCATTATCATTTTTAATGGTCTAAGAATAAAGGTTATTTCATGCCTAGGCATTACCATTTTTAATGGTCTAACAATAAAGGTTATTTCATGCCTAGGTATATATATATAAATGTGGTATACCTGTAAGGGCCCAATGAGTGGATTCATTCTGCTTGTTGATTAAATATCCACTATATTAGTCTCTAAAGTGGGAAACATGTATTAGGGTATAGGAAGAAAATATTAGAACTTCCACTTATATGTATTTTTATCATAACAATTAAGAAATAGTCTAAGCTTAATACACTTTACTGATTGACACTGGGCCTCACTTTGTGCCACTCGAGGGTCTTGTGGGAAGCAGTGAGTTTTATAACACCAAAGGGAGGACAGTGACTCATTTGGGTTTATTATAGATTTTCAGATTCTCTTACCTAATTTTAACTAAACTTGCTTTAAAAATAAACAGCTAATCAAAAAGTTTCCCACAAAGAAACTGAGGATTGAAGATAATACTAATAATTCAAGCATAAACCAAAACAAATGTCATTTTACCACTACTTTATGACATTAAAACAGTAAGTAACTAATTGAACCTCAAGGCATTGGTTAAAAAAACCTCAAGATGTCAAGACTATCTCCCTTTGTTAATGATCAGTTTCACCTAAGTTTCATTATACCTTAAATATTAGCTATGATAGTGAAGCATCATAATTAGCAAGAAATTAAAAATATTTATTAGATTTTATTTCATCCTTTTAGATTTCTATTTTTGTACATTTATGGAGTGTATAATATATTGAACCATAAGAAATTGGTGATGTTCAATTTTTTTTGCCTTTTAAAAATGTCAATTTCTTATGCTATAACCTATATATTAGCACAAGTATATTCTTTATAACTACATCGCACACACACAGATATACATACATGTTAGTTTAACATGCTTTATTGATGGAGTAGGTAATCAAAAACACTTGCAGACTCCTGGTGAACTTCATCTAGAGCACACATGGGTTGATGCAACTGTCACATCAAGACTGAGAAGAGCTCATGGCAGTTTTGAAGTCAATGTACAACTTGATACACACTCTGAGAGTACAGATACAGGCAGCAAAACCTGCTTGTTACAGGTACAGACTTCAAAGCCAGATTGCTTACGTTTAGAAGTTGGCTTTGCCACTTAATAGCTGAGTGAACTTGGTCAAAGGACTGAATTTCTTTGGAATTCAGTTTCCTCGCCCATAAAATAATAACACCGCATATCATTGCAACTAAGATGCCATCTATTGACAGACAACCTCAGATTTCAGAGACATAAAATGTGAAAAACATGCCTCTTAGACATGATGAAGCTCCTACTCCATAGAGTCATTTGAGGATTAAGTGGGTTAATATAGGTAAAGTGCTTAAGACAGGGCCCGGCACATTAGTACTATGTAAGTGTTCATTTCTACTACTATTACTACGAGAGCTGCTGCTCCTCTACTACTACCGCTGAAATGCATACTCATTAGACAGAACTGATAGTTCCTGTAAATTTTCACATCTTCAAGCCTGTTCATGTTTCAAAATGTTTAGGCTTATTCTATTTGAGGAAATATTACATTCATTCATTCAACAAATACTTTGTGTGTGCGCTTGTTGCACTACTACTTTCACATGCCAAGTCCGAGGGACACAGCAATGAATAAAACAGACCCAAATCCCTGCCTTTGTGGAGTATGTATTTTAGAAGGAGGAGAGAAACAATAAACAAAATAGATCAGTACATTTATATGATACGTTGCATGTGTTAGATGGGTATAAATGCTACAGAGAAAACTTAAACAGCCCTGACTGGTAAATTTGGGGGAGCGATGGGTTTGGTGGGAAATGATAGCAGATAATCTTTGGTCCGCATGAATAAATTAGCTTTATTGGGTTAACTATGCAATATTTGTTCTTTCAGTTGCCTAATCTCATTTAAGATCTTGAAAGTATAAAGGGCACTTCATCTTCCCTGCTATTAGGTCCAATGATTAAGGAAAAACAGTATTTCAGTTTAAAGTCAGATGCCGGAGAATCTGGTATTTAAACTAAAAAACAGGAAATGTGGAATAATACTCAAAGTGTTAATAATAATTGAGTTAATCCAAAACCAAACTCTTTCAAATTTCAGTTTCAAAATGCTTCACATTTAAATTTCCATGGTGAGTAAACTCCCTGTGGGGAAGCTGTGTTACCACATGTTAGCAGTGATGGGAAGAGAAGCCTGTGTGTTACTGTGAAATCATTTGCATACTAAGGGAACTTGGGAGTTCTATGTCTTTGAGACGTGTAGTTAGCTCACAGGAGGTGGACACCAAACTTCTACTGGAGACACAGCCTCAGTGCAATTGAAACCTGGTGCCTGACTTACTCTCAGTGCAGCGCAATTCAATGCCTAAGATCATTGTAGGTAAATGACAACAAGCTGGATTGGGAACATAATGCCAAGTTAGTAATTTACTACACAAAATGCAATAGTCAAACAAATCAGATGTTGGTCATCTGTTTTGCTTTATCAGGGATCCCTCCTTGGAATAACCATCAGAGCCAGAGACTTCTTAATGTTTCCGAAAGGGACATTACAGAGCCCAGGTGGCCTGAAAGAATATCTTTTCTCACTACATGGACAGCTGTCCCACTCTGCTACTCCCTACAGGTCAATGAGAGACCTTTTCTGGAAACAGAAACTTACTCTATATACTTCTTTCTACCTGACTGCCAAGCTTAATGCTCTTCCTCTCCCCCCAGGATCCAGCAATTTTGGCTGTTTATAGGGTTAAGTCTTGGTAATTTCTTTCATGCCTTGAAACAAAATAGGTGCTTGATATTTGCTGATGGACTGAAGAAAAGTTGAAAATCTTAACATGGGATCTCACTATTTTGCTTTGATGACTATCACTGCTCTGGAGAAGCATATGGTAAAATATAATTAAAATTAAATCTATTTCACGGCACAAGTAACTTTTTCTTGACGACAGTAGCATCAATTGAGCCAGAATCAGAGACCAGTAATGAAATACAAAAGAAATGCATTTCTCCTAACTTCTATATAATTTTGATTTTGAGTTTATAATGATCAGTTATCCCTTTAGAATAAATGTAAACTTTTTCTACTTATATGATTGACTTTCAGACTGATAGTAGTTAGTCTAGGAATGGAAAGGCCAAGGGATGATGATTTAATTCTAGTTACATATTAAAAGGTCATCATGTGAAAAAAAGGAGCAGGCAGATAATTTCAAAACTAAAAGTAGAGAGGGCAGATTTCAGCTCAATATCAGTAAGTAATTTCAATAGGCTATGGAAGGGAGATCCAAATGACAGGGGTGTCATTATGGGAAGTATATAAGCAGAAGATTCTTTGGGGGATTTCTGTTCTTTGGGAGTTTGGATTAGCTTCTCTTGCCTGGGATCCTTTCAGCTCTCAATTCTAGGAATCTTAACAGTGAAAGTGGAGATGGTCAGCTAAGGTGTTTTCCTTCGCTTAGCTAGTGAGCACCCAAAACTTTGAATCCAGATGACTTGATGACATATTTATAGGTTAGTATCCAGGAATCTGACACTCACAGTTCCTTTTTAACACTCTATGACAACATTGGTATAGATTTTCAAGATGAATGTATGCCCACTGAGCATAGTTTATATCATCTCTAAGGAAGAATAGTTTCCTCTATATTTGATATAATTATTTTTTGCCTTCATAGATTAACTTCAAGTCTCTTTGAATGTGAACCTTACAGTAGGTTTGTTTTTAATATATTTATTAGGGTTTGACATAGAGAGGTTCTAATGAAGGAAATGCTGGCAGACCTAATAAAATAAAAAAAATAGCAGTTGGATAAAAAAAAAAAAAAAAATCCTGGAGGGACACACAAATAGCAGCTACCTAGTTATCTTTGCATGCCATGGAAGATTCCTGGTGTAGGGAGGAGGGACACTTTTGTAATTCATTTTATTCCTTTCCATAGCATATGATTTATTTGCAAGTATATGTATTACTTTTATAATAATAATAAAAAGTAAAGACTAGGAATTTAGTTTTAGGAAAACTAAACATACTATAGAATACGGTCCTATCATGTTTGGCCCTGGATCACTAGGGATTCTCAAATAGGAGGTGCTCAAGTGAGTAAGTGTGTGAATGAACAGACTGCTGCTATGGAGAGGAAGGCTGGACTTTCAAGAATGAAAAGTTCACAACACAGGATATGATTTTAATGAAGGTTGGGCCTCTTTAGCTATAATAATTCTTACCATGGACTTTCAAAGTAATCCGCTTGTAGTCAGCGCCGCCATAGCCGATCAAGCAGAAGTAAACCCCTGCATCCTGCAATTTCACATCTGTGATCTGAAGTGCAGCCTTTCCCAAGAAGAGCTGGTCTTTCAACAGCTGGGCCCTCTGGCTGTAGCTACTGTGCTGAACCTTTAGGTCCTCCTTCCCGTTTATAAACTGAATAATTTTCTTATCCTCCATTTCCCAGTAGACAATTAATGCAAACAGGTTTAATTGCTCTTCTACTGGGAATTTGCATTCCATTGTCACATTGCTGCCATACTCTACCACGTACAGATCCTTGGTAACTGTGATAATAAATGCTGAAAAGAAAGATGACCAGTCTTCAGAAGGTGGAAAATTCCTCAAAAAGATGATAGAATGAGTACACTGTTTATAAACACTTTATCCGGTCACTATGTGATAACTACATGTAAGGACTTACTTTCCTAAAAAACATATTTTATCCAGTGGGCTTGCAACATGTTTTGGGGTACTATATCTCATCCCTAAGTTAGCTAGTAAAATTGGCTAAACAAGTTGTTGTCCCAAAATTCATAAACATACATTGCTGTAGAAATACTATATGGTGATGGGGTACTTATAACCAGAAGACTTTGTTTCATGTGGACATCCCCAGAATGTCCTTTGACTGGACACCTATTTGCCTTCTGCATAGTCTGAACGACAGACTCCAAGATAGTCATATGCTGCTTAACAATGAGGACATGTTCTGAGAAATGTGTTGTTAGGTGATTTTGTTGTGCAAACATCATAGAGTATACTTACGCAAACCTGGATAGTACAGACTACTACACACCTAGGCTATATGTTGTAGGCTATTGCTCCCACACTACAAATCTGTACAACATATTACTGTACAAAACAACATGAGTTTGAATCAAGCATAAGAGAAAATGATGCAGTCAAGAGACATGGTAAACACAAGACCTAAGGCTACAATCAGCATAACATGGCATAATGTTTAATAGTAAACGTTTTTTATAAGTAGGAAGAGTACACTCTAAAATGATGATAAAAAGTATAGCTTAGCAAACACATAAACCAGTAACACATTCATTTGTTATCAGTATCAAGCATTATGTACTGTACAATAATTGTCTGTGCCATGTTTTTACACGACTGGCAGCACAGTGGGTTTGTTTATACTAGCCTCACCACAAACAGGTGAGTAATGTGTTGCACTATAATTTTACCATGACTGCAACATCACCAAGAGAAAAAATTTTCAGCTTCATTATAATCTTATGGGACCATCATGGTATATGAGGTCATCATTGACCAAAATATTTTTACGCAGCACATGACTGTAGTCCGCTCTTTTTGCTGCCCTAAACTCCTGATCAGTTGTCTCGTCAGAGGTATATGGGTCTAAAGATTTAAGGAGAGTCTCAGGATGATGCCAGTACTGTATTACCCTGGCATGTTCCATGGCACTATAATTCTTCCTTAGAACGTGCTCTTTGGGAAAAAGCAGGTCACAGAGCAAGATGAGTAAAATGATCCTGCCCTTGTTTAAAACAAACAAATGAAAGTATACACATAGGCCATTTTTCAAGATATTTTCAATATTTATATCTAGGAAATGGATAGCGAGTCAATTTTGTTTCTTTCAATTCGTCCATATTGCCTGTATCTTTGTCCAATGATATGAGTTTATAAAATGTTTTTGAAATAAAGAAGGGAAAATAGAACATCCTATCTATTAAAAAATACATCCATTTTAAATTATTTTAATTTTTAACTTCTGGTTAAAATATTTAAAATATAGAAACTAATAAAAAGATTGGTGTCTTACCTTTCAGCAAATGACAGTAGGCCATGAATGTAAAACCACTAAATGTCCTCATTTTTCTAAAATGACCTAATTATGGGAAGTACAAAAAGAAAACTGCTTTACTCAATAATTGAATACCCAGACATTATGGAACTTAGCAGTTCTAATTGAAATAGTCTTCTGATAACCAGATAATGACTGACTTCTAAGTATGGAAATGCAGTAGAGGATTCAGAAGTTCAATACCATTACTTAATATCCCAGAGCCATATAAAGCCAAACTTTAAAAAGCTACTATGATGAGAATTTTAAAATTTAATTACAAGACCTGAAAAAAAACTTGTACATTCAAAAAAAGAAGAAAATATTACAGCAAAATCTTCTCAACTATTTCATGTTTTTTTTTCTGCAGTATAACATATCTAGAAATCTAAACCTGCCTGTGCAAAATTTCAAAGCAAGGAGAATCTGACTTCCACATCTTCCACCTCTCAATGCTCTCCCACCCTAGCAGCTGAATACTTTCATTGTACCCTTTAACTAGTCAAGCCTTCCACTTCACTATTCCATCCATGCCAGCTCTCCCTCAGGTGCCATCCTTCAAAAATCTCCTCTTCTGTCCAGATAATAAATTTATTATTACAGATAATAAATCCTATTTCTGCAATAAACTGATTCCATTAGTAGCAGGGGGAGTGAGAAGAAACAGCTGGATTTGACTAATTCATACTAAGATGTGAATGACTCACAGCCACTCTTCAGGAGTATCTGCCTACATTCTCTTCTTCATTTTGTCATCCTGTTGAAATTCTCCCAATTCTTTCTCAGCAAACATCAATTGAGCATATTTTCTGTGCCAGGCACTACTTTAGGCACTGGGGATACAGCAGTGAACAGGAAAGAAAACTCACTTTTCTCTTGGAGCTTATATTCAAGTAGGAAAGTAAATAAAGAAGATTTGTACTATATTTCAGCCAATACATTTATTTAATAAGACATTTTCCCTCTGATTACACATACATTTATACACTTTGAGAAGAAAATTAGCTTTTCCTCTAAGGTCTCTTCGACCTCAGTATATACACGAAAACTCACAAATGATCAACTAATCAATGTTACACATATATAAGGCAGAAAATTAATGCTCCTAATATATACATAGTTCCTAAAAATCAATAAGAGAACTACACACAACCCAAAATGAAAATGAGCAAAAGATTCTAATATATAGTTCAGAGAATAAGAAATACAAATGATGTCCAAACAGGAAAGAATGCTCAATCTAACCAATAAAAAAAGTATAAATTTAAGACAGGGGATACCATTTTTCACTTATTAGAGTGACCAAAATTACAAAGATTCCTAATATATAGTTTTAGAGGATAATAACAAATGAGTTTTATCATCCACTAATAATCGGAATATAAAGTTGTATAACCTTTTTTGGAGAGCAATTTGGTAATCTCTATTAAAAATTTAAATGCATATGTCATTTGAGCTTTCACTTCCTCTCCTAGAAATATATCCTACAAAAACAAAAACATGTACTTATAACAATAAAGAGATGGAACTTCTAATATTAACCCAAAACTGGGACTACCCTAGATAACCTAAGTGGTTAAGTAAATTTTGGTATATTCATACAATGTAATATCATTAAGGACAGAATAAAGTACATGTATATGTATTGATTTTGCAGAGGTATAGAAAGTAAGTTGCAGAACAGAAATCTACTTTAGTTAAAAAAGAAAAAGAAAAATGTGTGTGTATATAAAAATAGATGTCAAGAAAAATCCATACCAAGATACTGACAGTGATTACCTCTAGGAGTGAAATTAGAGAGAGGATAGGTAGGTTTTCACCTCACTACAGTTTTTTTGTTTGTTTGTTTTTTGTTTTTGTTTTAATGAAGAAAGGACAAAAGAAAGAAAAAGAAAAAAAGGGGAGATGAGATTGTAAACAATTCCTTTGGAGTTTTTCTGTGTCCAAATTTTCAAATGAACCTATATGTTTTACTTTTATTATCAGAAAAAACAAAAACAAAATTTCACGAACCATTTCACCTTGCCAAGCTGCAGAATATCTGGCAGACAGAGTAGCAGAGTAGAAAGAACCCCAGAACCTAAAACATCTGAACTGAGGTAGAATAATGACATTTGTTTACATTTTTCTTCATTATCTTCATTATTAAAATAACTTAAACACATTACAGAAAATGAGAAAAGAAGGGGAAAACCACCTACTAGTTTATCACTTTAACCAAGGTAATGTCTGAAAACATTTTTGGTTATCAAAATGGGGTGAGGAGGTAGGTTGCTATTATCTAGTGGGTAGAAGCCAGAGATGCTGCTAAACATCTTAAAATGCACAGAACAGCCCCCATAGCGAAGACATATTCTGGCCCCAAATGTCAATAGTGTCAATGCTGAGAAAACTTGCAACCACTGTGATTATTTTAGCATATGTTTTTCTCTAGTCTTTTCCCCCTAAGAATCTTTAAAACAGTAATTACAACCTTATATATTTAATACCCATTTTTTAATTTAATATTATGACAAATATTTTCCATTTTAGTGTGTGATATTCATAATTATCTTATTTAGTAGTCCCACAATGTTTAGTTCCTTTATTCGGAGGTATAAGATTGTTTCCAACTTTAAAAATGTCAAAAGTATATGTGTATTCAGCAAATATTTGTTAGGTGCCACTTTGTGTCAGGCACCAGACTAGGCCCTCAGAATAGATTTCCCTAAATATTGATCAAGGAGAAAGAACATTTTCCTGGTTCTTGATGCATGTGGATAATTAGTACCAGTTACATTGTATCTTCATCCAGCACTAGGTATTGTTTTTAAAATATGTCTTCTAAGTTGATTATTTAAAGAGTAAAACTTGAAAAAAATAGTTGTCCATTATTAGCACAAGAAGTAATCAGCGAAGGCAGAAATTACCTAAAAAAAGAAATAAAACTTGAATTTTTCACGTGTTTGTTGATTGTTTTAGTTCTTTTGTGAATTTTCTGATTAGTTTTTGGCCTACTTATATTATTGGTTTCTTATCAACCTGCATGAATCCTTCATGTTCGCATGCATATGCATATACAAAAAGGGTAAATAAAAAGAGTTATCATCTTCTTGCTAGTGTGAGGTGCATTATTCTTATTAATCTCCTTATCTGCTCTGTAGATGCGGATAATGATGGCATTCAGACCTGTGAGAACACAAAGGTTATTGAAATGAGGCTACTGCAGCAGCTATCTGGCTGTTCTTTCCTTGGGCTAGAATTAATATACCACAATTATAAAATACGAATGCAACGTTATAAACACAAATATACTTATTGGGCAGAAGAAAACTTAAGCAGAAGAAAATTTAAAGCAAAGAACTGTTGAATGAATCAGAGGGACATTAAATCCACTAATGGATTACAACTAATTTTGGCAATGTATATCTGAATTCCCAGACAAGAACTGAGACAAAGAGCAAGGAAATGTGAACAAGGGAAGAAATGACAGTTCATTCAGGATAGAGAAGCAGGTTTGTCCCTGGGGGAACCCAGTATATGACTATGGGACTGATACTACTTTTCTATTTCCTAAGCGTAGAATAGATAGGAAGAAGAGACAGGAAAATAATTTAAGCTTTGTTTCTTAAAAGTAGGAGCAAGGAGTGTCTTGATATCTGCTGGTTTAGGGTTTCCTTTTATTTTTACCTGTTGTCTATCAATTATAATTTGATTTCAAAAAAAAAATTCTTAGAGTTCAATAATGTGTCTCCAAGTGAGCTGAAAACTCATTCCATTAATAGATCAAGAGAGTTGATCTGTTAAATAGCTACTAAACTATCAAACTATATTAAACTCAACTAAATCCTGTGCCCAAACTCCTTCCACTCAGTGACCCTGAGAAACACGTGTA